TTTTCTGACTCGGAGTCGGGTCGAGTCAGCAAATCGAAAACGCTATTAGACAGAGCTGCTCACTTTTAGCATTTTCACTACGGTGTGAAGTGAAGGGGAAACGGCTGACTAAAATCTTGTACACCAATGCCCACTAATGCCCAGTGGGCATTACTTTATCTTATTATCTTATTTTATCTTTATAATGCTCCAGCAAGGCCTAATGCCCAAACTAATGCCCCAAAAATGTGTACTAATACTTAGTAATGCCGCAAATCCGTAACACCACAATGTCCTCAGCGGTTTCCCCTCGGTGCGAAGCCAACGGAGTTTTAGTTGACCTAAGGCTAAGTCCTGATTGGCTCTCGTAAGCAATCCAGTAAGAAAAATAGTATCGTGTGCCGTTGGCTCTAGATACAGAATTGACTCACAGAAGATGTTAACGTACAAATGGGATCCGAGTCATAATTAAAGAGTTGCGCTAATTTGACAGTCGCGGGAGAAATAGCTCGCTGTTAGAACTTTAACGGAAGAAGAGTCGATACAAGAAATCTTTCAAGCAAGGAGCATCCCAGGGCCGTAATTTCTCTCTTAATTTTGTACAACGAAAAGAAATCGAAATCGAGCGCGAGTTTGCAGGGGAATTTTGCCGCGGGAATATTCTTCCATAAGCCGGGGGTAAAACTTTGGCCCGTATAATCAAAAGTGTATAATATATGCATGTGCTCGTGCATTATTAAAAACAACACCCGCGCAAAAACGCAAGTTAATTCTGAACATTCGGACCGTGAGAATCTTTGAAGACGCGAGAAAGTTGATTATCAGAGTAACGCGACCTAGGGGAGTCGTACAACAATTAATAATATTTCATTCGAAAATATTTGCATCGTGACGGCTGCCGTCCGAAAATGTGAGGCACAATTCAGAGTCGCGCGATAATTAAAAGTACAATCGAGAAAGAATAAAAATCAACATGATTAAAATATAATTGAGAATGCGTCACGTACGTTCTTGCATAGCAATTAATTGGTAAACGCGCGACGATCGCCTCCCGAAACGGCGAGGGAAGTGAAGCGCGAGTCGCGACGAGTTAACGAGACGTTAAATGCGAGATTCTAATTTGCATCTTTATTAATTAATGGAGGTATTAACGGAGAGCACGCGGGGAGGGGGAGGAAAGAGGGGAGAGCGTAATGGCGTAATGGCGCATCGTGCTCCAGTTGGCCCCGTATACATTGGCATACTTCTGCTAAATTATTTATCTCCCGCTCGGCCCTGCATCACGGTCTACATAATAATAAAGCCCCGTAGTATTTTCTTCTCGTCGATACTGATGACTTTTTTTTTTCTTAAATTACAGACATGCGTGGAGAGGCAGCAGAGCGACCCGAATGTAAGTATCGTTACATCTGCTATTTGTACACGATTATACGCTGACACATTGTCACCTAATTACACGATACTCGCCGGTGTTCGGAGTCCGTTCTTATTTCAAATCCGTCTCAAGTAATAATAATAGCACTGCATTGCAATGTACGGTCTTATTCATTATTGCATTGACCTGCATTTTTATCATTATTTTTCTCATCTGTACAAATCACTGAGTTTCAGGCTGTAGTTCACACAGCTTCATACAGCCTGAAATTCATCGATGTACAGATGGGAATAAAGATTATGAACATGTGAATCCTACACTGATAAAAAAAATCTTAATTAAAAAAATATTAGTTTATTCAAGAAAACTATTCATTAGGTGGCTCCTAATAACTTATTAACTTAAATTTAAAAAATAATAAACAAATTAAAACATGCATTTCTTTGAGTATCTATTAAATATCAAACAGTAGATAATTTTAAATTTAAAACATTTTACTTTAATTGTATCAAATGTCCACTAAGATGTGTAGTAAAACTGAGGTTCAGGCATTAATGAATAAGACACAGTGATGGGCAGAATGATCGCAACACTTTTGTAAATGAGTTTAAACCGCGCATTTAGACTCAGGTTTACAGGCCAAAACTGTGGGGAAACTTTTACTCGAGAAAATAGATCGGAAACGCTCAGAATGGTTTCAGAATGGCCATCGAGTAAAATATTCCTCGGAGAAGAAGATTTTGAAAACCCTGTAACCCTGAATATAAATGCGTGTTCCTAAACTCATTAGAAAAAGTCGCAACCACTCTGTCCATCACTGTACAATTAAAGATATAGGACAATCAAGACAAAAATAAGAAAGAGTAGAAGTGGCGCACGCAAGCGGCTAGGCAAGCAAGGCCGTGCCCCGCACAATAGAGGAAATTTTCGGAATAGATTCCGATCGGAATTGTTCAATTATTCCCTAGACTTCTCTTGCGTTTTGTAGGGGAAACGGGACAATTCCGATCGGAATCCATTCCGAATACTTCCGCGATGGAGGTGTGGAATAAAGATTACATATTGGAAGTGAAAAAAGCCGCGGGCTCGCTGCTCGATATACGATTTACCTCGAATTACGACGGGACTCGAGATTCAGGAGGGAACGATCGATACGTTGAGACTCCGCCGGGAGCCTGTGTGTGCGCGCGCCCGCTTCTGGAGAGAATCTCGTCGCAAGCCACGCCGCGCGCAACAAACTTCGGCCAGACAGTTCGTCTCACGGCAATTAGCGCCGCGGATGTTATTTATACATATCGGGGGAAAACTCCCATGTTATACATATCCGCAACCGCATTCGATTACAATTGCTCTAAAAAGAAAGAGAAATAAAGTCCTTGACACGTAAACTTCGTGGTATAAACTGATTAGCGGTTCCAAGTCGATCTCTCGATGCACTTGAACCGCCTGCTCGCTTCCGTTTCGCGGTACATTTCGGCGACGCTACCAGACGCGCTCGTAACAGTATCGATATTTAAGGCCTGCGTTCACAATGCTAAAACGTGGTCCAAGTTCTAATTTCGAGAAATGTGCAGCTAATCAACTTGCAGCTATTCCATAAAAGCTGCAAGTTGATTGGCTGCATATTTCTCGAAACTAGGGGGTCAATTCTGTATCTTAAAGACCTGTGTCCACGATGCTAGAACTCGGTCCAAGTTCTAGTTCCGAGAAATGTGTAGCCAATCAACCTGCAGCTATTCGATAAAAGCGAAACTAGAACTTGAACCCAGTTCTAGCATCGTGGACGCAGGCCTTTAGGCTGGCATTGCACTCGTCGTACGGTAAATTTTTCAAGCGTGTTGATTGGCTGCAGGATAGAAAAGTTCTCGGGTACCTAAAAAATTTTCTGGCTCGTGGCCAATCAACGCGCTTGAAAAATTTGTCGTATGACACATGCACGGCGGTTACGCGGCACCAGCTTTGAATGCGTTCGAACTCGACGCGTAATCACGCTGCGTCCTGTTGCAGAACCCAGACCTTCACGCGCAGAAAAAGAAGATCCAGGTGTACATCGTGTCTTTGGGGAGATGCCAGGTAAGTGCGGACAATTGATTTTCCTTCGAGTCGCATGCACGTAGCGATACCGCGTCTATATGACGTCCTCTCTCAAGCTCCCTCGTCGCGCGGTCCCGCAATTTCGCAATCAATCTCTTGGCTGGTCGATCGTCTCTCAACCTGAAAAGTAAACGCATCCACAGTTAAACGCAGTCGTGTACCATATACTACTGGACCGCGCATTCATAGTAGAGGGTGTTGCCGACTTTTCGGAAAAAATGCGTGCGACAGAGGGATTCTCCCTCGGGGAAGAAAGGCTTCTCTGTCACACGCATTGCAAGAGACTCTATCCTTGTCTAGAACAATAGGACAAGGTGGGAGTGCGCGGTCCAGCAGTGCGTGATCTATGCTTGTAACGATCGAGAGAATGATTTGAAGACCAACAAACCCCCTCCTCCTTTTCCGACTAATCCAATGTGTCGCTTTCTCTTGGAGGAAGCTTGGAGCGCGGATTAAAAAGACGAGGGAGCAACGCGCGGGCTTTTCCTCTTTAAATAATCGTAAATCTCGCGATCGTATTATACACATACGCTTAGCGATAAAGCCCAGAAAAGTTGCAGTTCCGTAAGTTACACTATCGTTCAGGGCTATTATTGATCCCGAGCGTTGGCTGTTGCACAGCAAAAACTTTGGCATGCCTTGCCCAACTTTCGCAAAGTACCCGAGCCTTATCGCGCCGCAGTATCACTCGCGTGGTGCTGGCCGCGAAACGACTGAATGTATCGATCATGTATTACAACGGGGCTGTTACCGGGCGAGTTGCGAAACTTCCTAAATGGAAAAGAAGGGCGAGAGTGGAATTTGTTAGTTTCATTATTCCGAGATTAAGTCGGGAGGCAGCGATGTTTATCGCGTTCCCCTCGCACGTGTAGTCGCGCTCGTCCCTCTCCGCCACGGCTCTCTCTCTCTCTCTCTCTACCCCTTCCCCCCTCTCTCTCTCTCCCTCCCTCCCTCCCTACTCACCCTTTCTGTCTGTCTTTGTCTCTCTGCTCCGACGGCGTTGATAACGAGCGAGATAAATAGTCGGGATGTAACGGACGGGGGATGATACGCGGAGAGAGGCTGTGCGAGGGAGCGGGAAGGCGCGGGGAGAGGAGGTTGGCGAGCGGACGGCAGGAGGGAGGCGACAATTTAGAAAGAAGAAGCGAGAGCGACTTGGAGCGACTCCGGGGGAGAGGAGCAGAGAGAGAGAGAGAGAGAGAGAGTGAGAGACGGGGCGGCTCGAAATCAATAAAATGTCCTGCGAAAACGTTTTCGGCTCTTTACAAAATCTCCGCGTCTTCTTTCATCCGTTTACCGCCCCCCATGCGACCGTTTTTCCCCGTTTGCGCGGCTCCCCGAGCCATTTTTTCCGACAGTTGTCTGCCTCTCGTTTACTTTGAAAGTGGCGGAAACTTTCCCGAGCTTTGCGAAAGTTAACTTTTGAATATATATATATAAACTCGTATTTGCTTCGAGTAATTTTAATCGCACAACTATGCGGTAATATTCTGTTTCTTCGCAACAATCGCATCTGCTTCTTGTACGTTTGTAGCCTAATGTGCTCTTTGCGTCTAGAAATTTTTATGTGATAAATTGCACAATCATCGTCGACAAATTCTTTGAGCGTTTTGATTTACTCATACACAAAAGAAAAATGTAGCTGTCGTTGCTAAAAACTGCATGTGGCAACTAAATTTCACTTGTAATATATGGACAGCTAATATTTAGTTGCGATAGCTAAATATTTTGCTCCTATGCCTATAGCATTAGGTGCGACAGCAAACCGTTTGCTGTGGTCTAGAAAGTTATGGCAGCAAAATATTTTTAGCAAATCACGATTAGCTACGATAGCAAAATTTTTTTTATTCAGTGTACAAATTAGAATGTTTCTAGAGCACGTTGCAGATCAGGCTTGTACTTTTATGTAAAATCATAAACGATTGTCCGAATGTTTGCACATAAATGTGCTACCCTTTAATAAACGGCGCCGAAGTTGAAGCGCCTAGTTCACCGCTCGTTTCTAAGGATCTCTTTTAGAAATCGCCGATATTAAGTAACGCCACGACGGTGCTATATATATCTCTGGTTGTTAATACACAGAAGCAGAGTGTGCAGCGGCTGCGCAACGAGGTGGACGCGCTCAAGGCGGACAACGCGAACGGATCGAAAGTTTCCATACCGTCGCTCCTCGGACTGAACAACAACAATCACATTACAAACAATAATGAGACGAAACACGAAGCGGCCGCCAATGGTTTCGAGACGAAGCCGTCGAAGGAAAACTACGAGGAAGTCGTTAGGAATGGCGATGTTCACCGTTCGCGTGATAAGGATTGTGAAAAGTAAGCTTCGTTTGATTACAGTTTAAATTAAACAATGAAATTTGTTCATTGTTCGTCACGTAGAGCTATACGAAGATTTTGGCGCTTCTTTTCAACTGGAGGTTTTTTGCAGGCTACGTTCCAGCTCGGTGGAAACCGTTTCCGGCGAAGACGACGTCGTCGAGGTGTCGTTGGACGAAAATTCCGACGACAAGCAGGAGGAGGAGGCGCAGAAGGAACACAACATCGAAACGTCTGAGAAGTACAATTACCTGAATTGCCTCGGGCTTATTACCAAGTCCAAGTGTATGGAGCTGCAGAACCGGAGGGTGGAAAGGAAACGTCGTAGCACGGCTAATCCGCAATTTGTGTACTCCATGTTCGAGCAACCATCTGTAAGTGCATGTCAATGCTTTTGTTCTTACATGTGAAATATCAGTTCCCGAAGCGGGAGCCATTCAACTCCATATAATCCCTCGCAACTCTCCAATCAATCTCTTATAAAATCATACATGAGGTCGGCATTGAGTCCTGAACCCGTCCATCTTTTTACATTGTAGATACTTGTTTTAGACTAGCATGGCCTTTGCGAAAGTAACGCGCAAAGATAAATTGAGCTATCTATATTACATATGAAAAAAAATGAATTTAAGACTCTTTGGGCGGAAATAGATCTCTACAATGTCACGTCGTATCGTTAAATCTTTAATGACTGGTATTTTGACGCATATATTTTAGAAGCGGAAGAGGCATTCCTATTTGCAATCGGGAAACGCTCCTCACACTCGGCAGACGACCGCACGTATGAACGGTCCGTCGCCACCACCTAACAAAACTCAGCCAACCAAATCTACCTCGCCACCGGCGCAAACGGTAACCAAGTCGTTATACCCAGTCCATAAGTCCACCACTAGGCCAAATATCCTCAGAAACGCGGACAGCAAGGTCTTCGTGAATAAAAACAAAATGGAAGACAACCAAGTGCGATTGTCCGTGTCCAGTGCCAAATCTGTTCAGTCGATAGGTAACAAGGTTGTTCACATACCCGGATTACCGTCTAGCTTGACCATCGAGAGGATTGGGAGTGACTCTATCGTGTGCATCTGTTGTGAAAATCCAGGTGAAACTTTTAGAAACATTGTTAATTTTCTTACAGTCTCATTGAAAAACATGCAAATGTATACAAACGTACGTACTTAATGCATATGCGACTCCATTTCGTAGGTTCGTTAACAACATGCAGGAATTGCTCAAGTAACTATCACATCTCGTGTCATACCCGATCAACGCCTCCACCCAGGATCTGTCCAAAGTGTATATCATCAATGGATGAGGAAGAAGACATCGAAAAGGACGAAGAAGCTAATGGACAAGAAGTCGACAATAAATTGCTACGTTACAAAAAGGACGAAAAACTCGGTAAATCGTCCTCGGTTTCTTGAAAGAAGAAATCCCTCCTCCTTCAATAGCGCTAAGCGTGTGATTGACAAAAAAGTTCTTGTTCCGTACGACTTTAGTTGTGAAAAGTTCGCGATAGACTTGTGTCATTTTGCCGCAGCAAGTCAGTCGGCTGGAGATTATTGATTTTCTGATTATGAAGGAAAGCCGACGATTTTTTTTTGCTGCCTTCTCAGTTAGTGCATTGTAGAGTAACGGCGTTATACGTAAACTTGGCCGAGATAAAATCATAAAGGACCGGTAAATCGGCGCAAGCACATTATTTTAAATAAGCACAGGAATTTGTATAACATGAGTCCATAACTTCTAGATTTAACATACAACGAGGTATCGCAGCGTTGCCGCAGACTTAATTGAGCGTAGGCACGCACTCGCTGAATAAACGAGAGAGGCAACCTGCCGGAAGAAGTGTCCGCGTGTGAGACCGGCTTCTCGATTACGGCCGAAGAATTTGCAATTAAGAAGAACTTTTTGGTCGATCGTCCACGATAGGGCACAAAAAAACAACCTGTGTATTGAACGCAAAATATCTTGCAGAGGAAAAAGAGAGAGAAAGATATGAGCTGCGCGAGCGAAACTCGGATCTGAGATTGCAGGTTTACGAGTTGGAAAAACGCTCACAACTACTCGGCCAGTCACTCCAGGTTCGTCCTGTGGCCTGCATAGAGACAAATTATAAAGTTCACTTTTCTTTGGAATGCTCTTTTGAGTTAGTCAAATATGTAAATTGCCAATGATTTTCGTCCTTTTGTTTTTTCATCCAAAAGAACCTGCAAGATCTCTGCGTTTTTATATATTTTTTTTCGTTTATGTCATATTTTATGAAGACAAGTCGATTCTGTTCTCTAGACAGATATTTCTATAAAATATGAAAAATGATCTCATATTTAATGTATAATAAATTTTTATTGTCTCACAATATATTTTTTAAGTACATTAATTTGATTAAGAATCGACCAGTCTTGAATATTTTTATTTATCGATCGTTGCTTTCGTGATTCACGAATATGAATCAGCTTTATTTCTTTAAACATTTATTTCCTTCGTATTAATAATTTATAGATGTGATTTCCTCACTGCATTGACAAGAGTATAGAGCGCTTGGTTGTTCGAATATAATTTCTTCTGCGTTATTAATTTGTTGAGAATACACGGAAATTTTGTGCAATGTTTAGATTTATATTTGCCAATTGTACTGAAATGTCATATTTAAAGATTATTCGATTATATACACTTTATTGTACATACAAAATATCGAATCACCAAAATTTTATAAAACTTTCTTAAAATGCTAGAAGAATTTTTCATATCTCTAGAGATTCTCTATCTCGAAATCAACACGTTTAAAGAATTTATTGTGCGACAAATGAAGTACCTTAAGAGCGATATTTTATATGCATCAAATGGCATGCGTGACATATTTGTAATATCTTTTATTTAGATAATACAGTCGTTTTCTAGATATTCACTATATTTGAATATCTGCCTTGCCGAAAAATTCTCAGAAGAAAAGAAGAGCCATTTATATGTGCACATGATTTGATCTTTTCTATCATTTTACGTAATGTGAAGAAAAATATTTTATGTAAAATTGAAATGCAATTTGTACGTTTATGCTTTATTATATCATTATTATTATATTATTTTATATTAACGAATAGCGAATTAACATTCTTTATTTTTTCAAATCGACAATGATTTGTAAAGTTTATTTTATATGGTTTTTCTCGAACTCGATCGCATGCAAATTAAAAATACACTATTAGCTATTTCTATGTTAAAATCACGTGAAATCTTCCTGATAATTTTTACTTGCTTGTATGTAATACAGATGTAATAGATTGAAAGAAGTACACTATATATTTTAAGAAATGCATGACATTCAAAATTTGTATTATTAGCTCTTTTTTTCACGGTGACAATTTTTGGCAAGCAATTATAGCAGCTTTTCGTACATAGTAAACGTGTAATAAAAGTTGCTATAGTAAGCCGTTCTGCATGGAAACAGATGCAAGTGCCCGTTTTCAATTCTTATGACTTACTTTGTAGACAGATAATTCACTTTAAAAGAATCTTTTAACAGTTTAAAAGTCGAAACCATTTCTTCAAGTTAAATTTCAGATTCGAAATAAATATTACGGAAAATGTGAAATTATTCCCAGATCACAATTATTTCTCAATCGCGTGAAGATTACATACTAGACAACTGTTTTTTTTCATCACAATTTACCGTTTATAACAAAGGTATTCAAAGATAAAATCGAAGAGAACATTTGCATACGTTTCCTTGTTAGTAATAAAAGCTCACGCTGATCCAAAGTGTTATTCTCGGAAAAACATTAAAAATATTTATGTCTTCTTTGCGATAGCTGCAACAACGAATGCGTCAGGACTTGTTGGGAAAGCAAGAGAAGACCCAGAGGTCTATAAAGCGTCTGGTGGACTTTATAAAGTTGATACAACTCAGAAAAAATACCCCTCCACCGTCTTCGGCGTCAATCAGCTGCCTGCCTCAACCTTCCTCATCCCGATCAACACGAACGATATCTCCGTCTCAAACGTCAACAAGTCCGAAGACAGCAAGCTCACCCCGGTCTTCGATAACGAGTACCGACAAGCCACCGTACTTCGCGATCACGTCGTCAATCACTACTCACGCATCTCCTATGTCAAAGAAGACCAGGTTGTCGCCAGTTCCCACTCCTACCAATTGCCCAGTACCACCGTCCAATCAGAAAAGCATCAATCATATTTCATCATCAAGAAAATCACCGAGCCGACTGGAAGGTCCAATCAGTCTTCTAGCGGTGAAACCGAAGAACCAAGCCGCACCACAGTTTTCAACTACCAATTGCCGACCAGTTGCGGCACTACCATTCAGGCCGGCTTCCAACCCGTCGTCACCCATCCCCTGTTCTACGATCGTAACAACAGTAAGAAACAAACCAATCGTGCAGTCCCACTCCACCGTGTCATCGTACCAAAATTGCCAAATTCTCTTCACCCCGTCTCGAACGACCATCAGCTGGACCGAGCAACCCTCAACGGCAGAAAGCCCTGGGCCAAATTCGCACGCGGCGACAAACTCTGTGTCGATCAGTCAGCCGGATCAAGCGCAGAAATCATACTGTCTCCTTACGGCGATGCCGAAAACAGCGATGACGAGCAGCAGCGGCCAGGATCAACCGGATCAGCGGAGGAAGCAGCAGCAACGGCGAGTCGCGACGATCGTGGCAAGTGCCGATCAAGAAACTTCATCTACTCATTGTTCCCAAGCCATAACAAGTCCCATACCGTCACCGATGGTGCACGCGAGTCACGAGGCTTCGGCGCAAACGACCGAGACTGTCCTCTCCTGCGGCAGCAGCTCTGCCGCGAGGAGCACGAGCTGGAGCTGCACGAGCAGCCAGACAGCAAGCCAGCAGCAGTCCAGCTCGAGCGGCGCGCTCTCACGCGCTTCTTCGAGCACGTGAAATTGGAAGAAGCGCATATATCAGCGCCACTTAGAACAAAGCTAGCACACGAGGATGAGGTCGGGGATGATAACGACGACGACGACGACGAGATTGCCCGGGAGGACAGCCCGCGCGACGAGCAGTACGATGACGGTGGTACCGTTGCTAAAGCTCCACTGTTGACGTCCTGCGACGACCTGGACGAGGACCGCTTGATCAGTCGCGTTGCTTGGCTACACGAAGACTGGGACATCGCCAGTGACGATGGCAATGTCGCGAGCAAAGCGGCCGTCCGTCGTCTTTCGGACGCAGTCTCGACGCAGTCCGGCTACGAGCTCGCTCGCGTTAACCGGCGCTGCTCGTCGGTGACTCCGCGGCATTCGGCGGAGCGCGAGGACGATCGACTGACAACGGCGGCGGCGGCACTGCGCATTGCACAAAACAATCTTTCGGAGCTTCGTAACGAGGTCTCAGTTCCTGACGATAAGGCTGACACCGAGAGACAAGACTTACCCAGTGGTAGGCGGTTGAGAAGCAGAAGCAACAGCAGCAGCAGCGGCCACAGCGACACCCCGGCGCAAGCGATGAACGTGAACGATCTCTCGGACGAGTTTAACATACTGGCCATGGGTCTCGTCTCTCCGGGGGAAAGGGGCGAGGAGCTGGAGCAAGTCGGCGACGAGTCCACGGCGAGTGAGACTGATGCCGCCACTGGTTAGACATAATTAGATTAATTACGTTGACATTAAGGCTCCTGGTTCCACGTTGAATCACGAGCACAGTTCAACAGTGAGGAACCACGCGGATCTTTTTTTCTTGCCCTATACATCGGAGTAGATTAATCTTTTCGCCACCCGCGTTCAACAGTGGATTAGTGGATGCAATAAAAACTGCTTTTTATTGTTTTATATTAATAAACGCGCGTAATCGAATATGTCCTACAGCAGAAGTAGATCCCTCAGCAGTTGATTAACGAATAGATAAAAAATATACTAATTTACGTTGAACGTTGGTGGTAGCGAAAGGAATGAGGATACATTTCTACTGCAAGGGAGAAACAAGAGAGCCTTATTGTCGATCGCGCTCGGGAACCCGATGGTCTCCTCCGCGGCATTCACGCGTCTTCTCTTGGAAAAGAACGCGCGACGTGCAGGTCGATCGTCGGAATCATAGCAATTAAGTCAGTATACGAACGTGTTCTATGCTAGAGATATTTTAATGACGACAGTTCAGCGACACAGCCTGCAAGTTTTTACGCGGAGCAGGACAACTCGAGGACGCACGCGGCGTCTCCCAGTGTATCGCGGCCTACGGCGCGTAGGACGAAGACGTCATTGCTACAATCGCATTAATCATTTTACTTCGCATTAGAAACCTCGCTCGATGGTTTCGCGCGAGACGTTAGAGCGGATCGTCCGAGGCCAGGCGCGCTTCCCTTCGCAATGCTAGTTTTCCTCGTTTCTCGCGATTCTGCGATTGTCTCTCCGACGAAGTAAACGCGAGTTTCCTCCTCTCCGTTGCTCCGTAATGGAATTTATACATGTTACACCCAATATGTATACGCGCACGGAAGGGCGCGAGATTGCGGGACATTCGGGAGAGGAAATCGTTCATTTCGCTCGTGCCGGCGTTTGTAAGCATCGAGATGATTTTGATTTTCTCGGTCCAACAGTCTCGTTTATCCGAGCTGTTGGTCCTCGTGACGGCGAGATTAGCAACGGCAAATGATCCAGTGATTTACAAGCACGAGTGGAAATCGAGCGGATTCCGATCTAGCGATTCGAGCGAATTTTCCAAGTCGATTCTCTCGGAAACGGGACCTCGCCTCGCCTCGCATTCCCGACCTCTGAGAGAGATCCCGGTTGTGTACCACGATTTTCGAGGGAACCCCGCGTGACTAGCTGAACCAAGCACATATCCGAGAAATCGCGCGACTACTGACTCGAGAGAAGGCGACAAGGACGCGGGAGGGAGCCTAACTATTACGTAAATCAAGTCACATTACCGTACTGCCTTAATAGTGTTGTAAAAGTGCAACTTTTTAAAAACTCCGCGGAAGCGTGGAGGTGCCGATTTACGTGCCCCGGATGCAAACGCGGATCGCGGATGCGACGCGATGGACGGCCGGCGATCGGAGAACGAGAGCAATCACGGTGGAGTAATACGATTAATCAAATTCTCGTTACCATAATCGAAAAAGCGTTAGATGTTAAGGACCATCGTCTGTAAGTTCCATAAAGCGACGCGGTAAAACCGCTCGTCCTGTTTCTCACGAAAGTTGTATTCTTGCCGAAGGTAGTTTGCAAAGTGAGAGAGAGAGAGAGAGAGAGAGATTGTATGTGTGTTTGTGTATGCGTGTGTTCATAAGCGGCCACTATGTTTTGTTGATACGAACTTGGACGGTATTTGACGTTACGTTCATTTTAATTGCGTTTTTAATTGTTTTTCGTCCGGACAGAGCGGAGCTGTGATCTTTTGCAAGACGTTTTGCCTGTGCGAAAGGCGACCGGGTCGATCGTGCGAAAGGTAGAGTTTATGCCATTGAGAAGTGTCGGGTGTGCTAGTATTATTTTTTGTTTTATTCCCGGAATTTGTCAGTTGCCCATCGATTAGTCTATTTATTTCGCGTTAACGTCGGCATTCGCCGGCCACCAAAATCGGTGCGCCCGCGTCATCTATATCTGGTGTATAAAGGAGAGAAGGATCGAGGGCGCGGAGAATTGTTATACGCAAGCATAGGCAACGAGATATCGAGAACGAGAGATTCGTATTTTTTATGAAATAAAGACGACTTAAGCAGCACGTGTGTTTCAGTTCGCGGAAACCTCGACCCACCTCCTCCGGGCGCGAGGAACCGCCGCGAGATTTCGCTTATCTCACTCGCTTATCACGGTCGATCGCGGGGAGGGGGCTCTCGAAGCGCATGGCGCCCGCGGACGCGGACGTTTCGTTTGAACGGCGGACTGGATTCCCGCTGGAAGAAAAAAATGGCTAAACTGCGGCAACGCGGGGGCGGGAGCGGTGGAGTTACCGACTTGGACAAACAATCGGCTAATGACATGTAAATATGGTGGAGCTAATCAAGCGGCTGTGCCAACAGGCCAAGGGAGACAGAGAAGAGACGCTGCGACCCGCTCGCTCGCTCGCAACGCGCACAGGGAGGACGAAGGGGGAGAGGGTGGTATCCGATATACCCGATGTATTTACGAGGCCGACCTGCGCACATGCGTCGCCGCTGTAGCAACGCGCGCGTACATATTTAATGGTTGCACGTTAATTGCGCTCTGTTTGCCCATTCCCCATTCTACGCTCCATCTACACGTCCACCCACATTCTCTTCACCCTTTCCGTGCCGCAATTCTCCTTTGTTAGCGTGCGCGCCGCCGCCGCCGCCGCTGCCGCCACCGCCGCCGCGCCGCGCCGCGCCGCGCGGTTCGATTTTAATCAATTCACCTCGGGCACCTACTACAGCCGGTTCACGCTCGAGATCCCACGGAAACCTACTTTCGGTGTAGCGCATCAACGCGGTACCAAAGCGCGCGCGCGCGCGCGCGCCCAGCCATTTCCCGAGGGCCGCGTTTACGCGCGGTTTTTCCGCGCGGGGGAGGATTCTTTTCGAGCGACAAGTATTTTCGGCTCGGCGTAAGAGACCGGAAAAGACGCCGAGGAAGGAGAGCTGTCGTTCCTCCGGGAAATGCCGACGCGACGGAAATAAATGCGTCGCGCGGCGACAGACGTCTCTCGTTAACGATTCACAAATTTCTTTCCGATCGCTCGATTCGCACGCGAGTCTCGGCGAGCGTCGAGCGATCCTCGGTTCACTCGGAGCCACCTGACGATCCGTCTTTCTTCTACCGCGGAGTTTTCTAAAGATTCCGAAATGCATGACCCACGCCAACTGCGAACGTTAGCGAACCGTCGAGCTCGCGGCGGCGTGGAAAAACGCGGGGGCTAACACATTATTGTTCAAAGTTCTTTAATTATCCTGCTTTGCGCAGTAAAAGGGGTGAATAAGGAAGGTACTGCACTTTTGTGTCAATAGAGAGCGAGAGAGAGGGAGGACGGAGCGAGGGGTCTCTCTAAATACACTTTACGTCAGTTTTCTCCCTCCTTCTCTCGCCGAGGCGCGCGTGTTTTATGAAACGAGCGTTTTTAATTAGAAAATTCTTTCGGGTATATTTTCCGTTTCTCCCTCCTTTCCGTGCCGGAAGAAAAGAAAAGGAATCAAGTCGTCAGTTGCCCATGTACATTTTATATACGCTAGAAAATTAGTATACTCCAAACTAAGATTACGATTCTCGCAGAATGATCCTCGGGAGTTCCTGTTTCGAGGCTCATCGGGAAGAAAGCGTTGCAGCATCCGCTCGCGAGTGTACGGGGCGAGATGGGGTCGTAAGGTAATTTTTTCTAGTTACACTAGAGCCTTGATTTAACAGACTAATAGGGAGAGGAGCATCTATCTTTTATCATTTTTTAATCTGAGAGAAAGCTGTAACGCAGCATCGTGCAATACACAATTCTCAATTGGCTTTAATCCCCGTGCCACATTTAACGCGCGTTCTTGCTCGCTTGAGGCCATTTTGAAAAAATTGTAAAACTGTTTAACGCAGATAAAGTCGCAATTCGGAAATCATAGAAGCTGTATACAACCTGATTCGCGCAGTACCTTGAGGAAGACCGATTCCACACCCAGAAAGTTTGTTTGAAATGAAAGAAACTTGTTTGAATTTTTACTTTCTAGACTTTTACTTGATTTCAAAGAAATAATTTCTTTATCTTGACCAAAATTTTATTTGATTGAGACCGGAATTTCTGAGGCCCGGCTTTTCATTTTCTGGTTAACATTTAAGCGGATTCTGGGCGTAAAGATGTGTTGGAAACGTGTATACATACACAACACAAAGTTAGACGACTCTCCATCTTTTTCTAAGCTATTATCTAAAAAGAGACGGAGAATCGACTAACATCTGGTTAACAATTAACCAGAAAATGAAAAACCGGGTACAAGGGACACGCGAATGGACACCACGCTTTACGAGACAAAGCGAGGAGCGATCGCTAAGGATCGGGCACGGGCGCGATCGAATTTCCTCCCGTCGTTTCGCCGGAGGTCACGGCGGTCTTTACGCGCCGAGATCCCGACGTTAATTGTCCGTTAAGCGGGTCGGAGCGCGCGCCGTTGTTCCGTGGGAGCCCGCATCGAGGTTGACGAGCATCCCCGGATCGAGAGGCGCTCGCCGAGAGACAAACGAACACCGGGCTGGGGGGGAGGGGGGAGGGAACGAAAGGGGGACGGGAGAGGGAGAAAGAGAGAGGAGGTTCCAAAGAAATTTTAATCAAGCCGCTTTGCGTGTGGGTGGTTGCGTTTGCGTGTTTGCGTGCACGTGCGCGCGCGCGCGCGCCTCCAGTTCCGCGGTAAATTACACATACGGGTTCCATTACCGGACCTCGTTACTTCGGAATCGAAAGCCTCGGCGTCTCTCCCGGCCACCGCGGTGCTTCCCCGAGCCACGAGGAATCGATATCCTTCCGATAGCGCGGGCTATCGGGCGCCGTCGAGGGGACGCGAGCGCGAAAGTAACGTCCAGGGGGTTGGAGGAGGGAACATCGTTTTTCAAAACCGCGCGAGGATTGACGTGGGTAGACACATAGAAAGAGAGAGAGAGTGAGCGGGGGGAGGGAGGGAGGGAGGGAGAGGAGAGGCTTGCTCAAACGCCGGCCACACTTTCCGATGAATCCGCCCCACGAAATTATTTAACGGATTTAATAGGTGCGGTGCGAAGTAACGTTCGGCCCCGGGGAAAGTCGGAGTGCCTTCTGGAAAGGAAGGGCGGCTCGGCCGTAACGGGAGAAAACGAAGGCGGAGACAGCTCCCTACATCCTTTACAATCCTTTAACGATGACACATTACTTCCGAGCCTTCCCGATGGTCGCAATTCCGGCTACGTTACTGTCACTTAGCGAGCGGAGTCGCGAATCTGTCTCGAAGGAGAGACCGGCGGGGTAATCTTCTCTCGAGATTCGCCCCGAAAGGCGAGGTCTCGCGCGGCAGCCACGAGAATATATGCATTTGCATCTCTTTCTTAACGTTCGGGCGGCGCCGAGAGAGCGCTGCTGGGCGTCCTTGTGAAAAAAATGTAATCAATTCATTTATTTGTACACACTTTCATCGGGGTATCTTCGTTATAATATCGCGACTCGTTATTATGTCCCCGAGAGAAGACGTCCACGTCCCGCAGCGTTTTCTCTTCGCGTCGCGTCCGTCTTACTTTGAAACGGAAAGAAATCTCTCGCGAAAATGGTACAAAAAAATATATATATATATTTGGACATCAATCTTTCCTTCCTCATATTTTTTTCCGCGATATTTAATATCTTAATAATTCGATCTTGTTACGTTATATATAAAATCTTTCAGTTGAGCAAAATCCGCTTTATTTGAAATAAGGTGAAATTAAATTAAATTGAAATTAGATTACGTGGATTAATTTGCGAGAGGCCGCTTTAATGGCTCGCGATTTGAAGAGGAGCCTCTCAGATTCCGCTATACCCGCCATTTATGGCGAGCTCTCTCGCGCTCGCGTTTTCGAACTCGCAACGCAATCGCCCGCGAAGTTCGCGGGTATACGTTGTCTTTTTTTTTCCAGCAGACTCCACGTAGAGTCCTTCGGAAAGAGCGCTCGCCATTGCAAATTGCGAGGGATAGCCGAGGTGAGAGCATACCTGCAACGTCTCGAAGCCATTTGCGAAGTTTTTCCGAGGATAACCGCGCGGCTGGCGGGGGTGGGCGGGAAGGATAAGAGCGACCAGGGAAGATAAGGGTGTGGATGAAGATACGGGGGTCCTTAGTGGTGTCGCCGCCATCGTCCTCGTTGTCCCCGTCGTCCCTCCCTCTCTTCCCCGCTCTCTCCCTCTCTTTCCCTCCTCGGTGCAGGCAAGTGCGACCGATGAGACGTCCGGAGGACCGGCGAACGGTTAGTTAAGGAACACGAGAAAGCACTTCTGGATCACTCTCGGCGCTCGCGTCCCTCCTCCGCGAGCAACGTCTCGGATACGGAGATACGATCGACTCTCTCTCCCCATAGATATCATCTCGTGCATATAATACGTCAATTTTCACGCCGCCCTCGTCACGCGGCGCGGCCGCGTCGCGCCCCGACACACGCGTGGCGAAAGACCCATGTCCTTCCTCGACGCCGCGTCCACGGTGCGTTTCCGCAGTCCGGGGCAAAAACTCGTTCCCTTCCGCCCTCTCGCGCGAGAGGCGAAACGTCATCGGATAAATAACTTTATTTCCTCGTTTCCGCTTTTATCCCCCGAGCGTATCCCGAACGGCACTTCCCAGCCGCTTCCGGAGCACGTTGCTCCGTTACTTCGCGCGATGAATCGGCGTTACATGAAATTAGATATCGCGAGAAATCTATGGTGCAATTTTCTATACTTGCCGACGGCTACCGCGGCCGCGGAATATACCGTCGAGTTATATAGATAAATCGCAAAGGGCGATCTGAAAAACAGAGAGAGTGTGTGTGTGTGTGTGAGAGAGAGAGAGAGAGAGAGAGAGGGGGGGGGAGAGAAGAAGGATTCTCCAAAGAGATTCTCCGGCGGGGAAGGTCCACCTCCGTCTCATCCTTTCTCGTTCTGCCGGGTTTTTCCGCCGGCGGCCTGCGCCTTTTTCGCGCGAAACCGAACTCAGAAGCGATGCATCATAATCAGGCGGTCAACTTACTTAGTCTGGAGTGCTGCGCGCTTAAGTTAATTAGCTAATTACTAATTTTAATCGGATGACGTATGCGCATC